TGCAAAGTGGTCTGCACGCCGACCTTTGCACTGCACAGACACGTGCTTTCTCACTCCACACGAGCGGATCACAACACCGTTCCCTGCCCTGCTCTCCGCACGTCACACCGTGTGCTGGCCACGTCCCAAGTCAACCACAAAGACGAACCCCTTGCGGCCTCTGGGCGAACTCACCGTCTGACCCAGGTCTCCCCTGACCACCCCCGTTGCTCACCCCCCCCGCCTGTTTTCTTCAGCAGCACGCGGCACCTTCTCAGACGGGCCGGCGGCACACACGCCCTGTGAAGAGCCAGATCAGAAATGATCTAGTCTCTCGGAGCGAGTCGGCCCTGTCACGCACGGGAGGGCTGAAGCAGTCCTGGACAGAACGTGCACACCGACGTGGGGGCCGAGCTCCGACGGAAGTTTATTTACAGAAACCTGACTCGTCCCACCTAGAGAACACAGGGGAGAGCCCCCGAGCAGGCGGGTCAGGCAAAGGTTTCTTAGACTCAACACTAATTGGTAAATTAGACTCCATTAACATGAAAGCTCCTGCTCTGGAAACACTAGTAAGAGAATGAAAAAACAAGTCAGACTGGGGGAAAACACTCACAAATCCATTTTCTAATTAACCCTTATTCCAGAATACATATTTAAAACTATCAAAACACAAGGAGGCAACGAACCTGATCACAAAACCAGCAGAGGCAGACAGGCCACGGGTGAAGATCTGGCTACACGTAACAACCCTGTGCCCCCGATCCCACGGCTGGGCATTTTCCGAGAGAAATGAAAGCTCTGTCCAGGCAAAACCTTGGGCCCAGTTAAATTACCGCGTATTTGTCCACTGACATATCACGCACCCACTCACAACAGGGAAGTCGGTTTATTCGTGCAACAAGCACATTCAGTGTTCTCTGTGCGGGGCGTGACTCTGGACGCCAGGAACGCGGCAGAAGGCCGACCAGACGGCTGATCACACCCCCATCCACAGCCACCCCCTTCCCAAACAGGGCCCGTCCTGTGGTGCTGGGGGTCGTGGCTCCGACACAGAGCCCGCAGGTTTGGCTGGCTGCTGGCGCGCCCCTGCCCAGCGCATCGTATCAGAGACGCACGGCAATGCCACTTGTAAAGATGCAAATGGGAAGCGTCCCTTTTAAAGTCAGGATTCTAAAGAGATGCTCAGTCATCCCTTATTCAACACAGTTCTGGAGGGCGTAACAAAAATTAAAATAAACAAATCAGGTGACAGTGGAAAAAAAAAACCTTGTGTCATCCATTGCCAGTTTAACATAACAGGTGAACTTAAAAAAGGTCACCAAGCCCTGGCTGGCGTAGCTCAGTGGATTGAGCGTGGGCTGCAAACCAAAGTGTCGCAGGTTCGATTCCCAGTCAGGGCACATGCCTGGGTTGCAGGCCATGGCCCCCAGCAACTGCACATTGATGTTTCTCTCTCTCTTTCTCCCTCCCTCCCTTCCCTCTCTAAAAATAAATAAATAAATTTTTTTTAAAAAATCACCAAAAAATAAGAGTTCTCCTGTATGCCAGTAACAAGCAACTAGAAAACGTAATAGAAAAATTCCCATTCACAGCAGAATCAGAAAATGTATCTAGGAAAAAACTACTGAGACTAAGCGAGAACTTTATGGAGAAAACGGTAAAACCTCACTGAAAGCTTCACTAGGAAGACCTCGATTTCATGGAATGAACAAAAATGTACAGTGGAGACGTCAGTTCTTCACAGGTCAGTATTTTAACGCAATGCAACTTGAATCCAGACTGCGGGGTGATTATGGAGCGTCACAAACCGATGTCAGATTCCACATGAAACGCTGGCGAAGGGCCAGAAGGCACCGTCCAAAGAGAACAGACACCGTGTGATGAGCAGACGCACGCTCTATAAGGAGAACCTCTACAACGGCAGCAATGAACACACGGCACTGGCTGCTTACAGCAGACGACCGAGTCGGCGGCACAGAGTGAACAGCCCAGAAACAGACTCGGGGCTCGGACCCGTCCTCCCCAGAACCAGCCGCTCTCCGCCAGGAGGGGCTACGGCTCCGGGCCTCGCCCCGAGCGGTCAGCAGAAGCCAGTCCTCGCCGGCACACACTGGCCGCGCACAACTAACAGGAAACCGTCGCCGTCGTCGTGACAGCAACACGGGTGCTTCCGAAGCATCTCACGTGGCCGACCACCTCGGCGCCTTGAGTTTCTCGGTTTCCGTGCAGCCACATCACGTGGCTGAGCTCTGTCCTCTACCGCCTCCGCCGCCTCCTGTGCGAAGTCTCCCTGGGTGTTCGTTGCCTCCTGGCTGCGCACCAGCCGAAAGGACCTGGCATCTGCTATTAAAGCATCAACTTCTCTGAAGACCGAAGATGTCAGCTACGACCTTCAAACACCGATCCCGGCCCTCCGGCTGGGTCTCCAGTTCCAGCTCTGTATCTCCATCTTGAACACTCTGCCCCTGCCGCAAACGCGGCAAACAGGCCTAAAACAACGCACACGCACACACTCAAACGCACATGCTTGTCTTTAAAGTCCCAGCACTTCTCCCCCCCATCTGAGAAACAGCCACCCTCCCTGAGCAGTCTGCGTGGGGCAGGGGCGGGGGGCACGTGTCCCCGGCCCACCCATCCCACTGCAGTTCCCTCCGTCAGGAACCTGGTCCAGCCGCCCTCCACGGCGCCCTTCCCTCGGTCTCGTGTCCTCCACCCTCAGCGCTGCTGCCCAGGGAGTCACTGACCGCCTCTCCCTCCGCCGGCCTCCTTCCTTCCTCCAGTCCCTCCACCCTCCGCGCCACTCTGACTGAGCTCCTGTGGTGGGCAAATGTCCCCTGAGCCCCACCTGCAAGCTGTCCCTGTTTTCCCCCAAACTTTTCAAAGGGTGAATAATGCCCATTATCACAGCCATGTAAGCACCTGAAAACGTGGCTTCAGTGGGCCTGTCCAAACTGTCTTCTCCAACGTCTGAAGTCCGTTCTAACCCCCATCCCCGCACCCCGGACTCAGACTCTCCCTCGGGCCACCCTGCCGAAGCACTTCTGGAGAGAAGAGCGAGCAATCCGGTTTCGGCTGCGGTCACGCTCAGTTACCCGTTTCCCCAAGGCGCAGCGGAGACCAGGCTCTTCTCCTGCACAGCTGGTCTGGCCTTCGTCATTCCCAGCGGCCACCCCCGCAGAGTCTAAGCTCAAGCCCAGCGAATGACAGACCCTCCTGGCGCCCGGCTACTGCAGAGCTGGGCGGCCGCAGGCGCCGTCCCCTCCTCTACAGGCTCTCCCTGGACGCGGCTCCGTACCGTGCACCGCTCGGCCCGCACGTCTTTCCCCGGGGGCCTCCGCCCCTCTCACAGAGGCCTCTGCTCCCAGTGTTCTTGCGTAACCAGTGCCCTCGTGGGGTTCATCGCCCTGGACTGGAACGACTTGATCTGCGCATCGCCATCCTCAGAATCTATCGTACTTCGAGACACGTAACAGACCGTTAAGAGTGGGTTTTAAAAGGCCGTCTGGTATGGCGTACAGTTCCAGGCCCTGTCCCTCCAGGCCGCTCTAGCAGGAGGCAGCACCCAGCACCCTGGTTACGGGCTGGGCTAGTCTACAGCTAGGCTGTCCAGGTATGAATTTGGACCTGCCATCTACCAGCCAAGGGGCACCAGGCAAGTTCATGACCCTGGTTATACCTGGGCCTTTCCACACAGAACTCTAGTTGGAATGGGCTCCCTTCCTTTTTCCCTTTATCCAAATCTCCCCCAGGCTTCAAGGCTGACCTCTGGTGAACCCTTGGGTCATTCCAAGCCCAGCAGCGTTTTCTGTAACACTCTGCATTTAATTAACACTCCCTTTCACCCCGTGAGTCTCCCTGCCTGCCTGCCAGCCAGCTCTGGGAAGGTCGGGAGGGCACTCCGCAACTCCCTCAGCCCCCACAGCCAGCAGCAAGCCCACGGTGCTTGTCGGGTGAGAGGAGAAAGCTCTGTGGGGACCCCACTCCCTGTGCAATCAGAGGCAAGGGGCGGCTGCGGACAGGCGCACCACCTCCAGCCCAGCTGCAGACACGCAGGGGCCAGCAGGGGCCAGAGTGCCGGCCACAGAGAGAGAGAGGCTCCGAAACAAGGCGAAAGAAAGAGAAAGACCTTCTCCCTGCAGGGGAGCTGCAGGCTGTGCAGAGGCCCCAAGCCCTAGGCAGCAAGAAGTTCAGCCCGGGGAAGGGACCAAGGACGGGATCTGGGTTTCCCAGGGACGCAGCCTCAGTTCCCTCTCTATCCGGTGAGCCGTGTAACCCACATCCCACAGGAGTAATAACTACCTTCACCCGACCACGAGCTGCAGCCCTGGGGAATGCCTCGAATAAACTGGAAGCGCTGCATTTCACAACGCGTAAACACGCGAACACTGAACACACTTCTCACTGCCCGAGAAAACTGTGCTCAATCAGCTGGCAGCAGTATTTACGCTATTTAAACGACCTGTGAGAAAGTCAAACACACACAGACAGGACTGCCAAAACTTGAGACAATAGCAGAGACTGGAGAGCAGGGAAAAAAATTCCACTACAAACCTGATCCTGCTTTTCTGACACTTTCTCCGCCCTGCCAGTGTTTCTTTCCGCTTGCGATTAACACAAGTGTCCAAAATTATCCCGGAAGGACAGGCACGGGAAAGCACAATTTCACTCTGTCGCCAGTTGGTTCTACGCAACATACTATTCGAGCTAACAGTTCCAAAACACTTCCAAACAGGAGTGACCATGAACGTAACAAGTTCAGACAATGGCAAATGACCTGAGCCAGTCAGTTCAAGTTCGGAGCCGGTCCGGCGCCAGGCCGGCCGTGCGCGTGTGCGGGACGTGCCCACCGCACCGACCACCCCAGCCCCCAGCCTTTCAGAGGTTCCCGCCGGCTCCCCAACAGTGAGTTCCAATCGGTCTAGTCCCCCAAACACTCCAAGATCCTACACAGGTTCCGCGGGAACGGGTTCCTTCCCAGGGGCGCACGGGAAGAACGAGGGGCCCGCCGTCGCCTCGGCTCAAGCAGGAGCAGCTCTGGGCCCGGGAGGGGCCACTGCAGAGAGGAGGCATGTGAGCTCCGCAAGTCGGAGCCAGAGACACTCGGCTCCGGAGGGAAGGGGGCCGAGGGCCTGGCCTGTAACCCAAGCGGAGGCTGAGCGGCCCGGGACGGGGAAAGTGGGGATTCGTAACCCAAAGGGGGCAGAATCCTCAAAGGAGCTGGGGGGGTGTTCGGTGAGTGTGTGTGCTCGAGTGGACGCGTCCGCCGTCTGTGTGCGGGCCAGCGGCTGGGCGGCGCACGGAGGGACGCGCTCCGCGCGGAGGTTCCCGGGGACAGAGATGCGGGCTCCGATCCGGATGCGGGACCGGTTCCGAGGAATGCGGGACCGGTTCCGAGGAATGCGGGGATTTCCCGGCGGGGATCGGCGGCTCCCGGCGGGGGCGCCGCCCTCCCGGCCGGCCAGGCGGGCGGCCCCCGAAGCGCCAGGTCGCAGGCCGTCCAGCCGCGCCTGCGCCCGCGCCCTCACCCCCCCGCCCCGCGGCGCGGCCCCGCGTTCGGCCCCGGCCTCCTCACCTCCGGCGGGCGCCTCGCTCTCGGGTCTCCGCAGCCGAGTCCCCTCGGCGCCGGGCCCGGTCCGGCCCGTCGACAGGGCGGCCGCGGGCCGCTGGTCTGGCTGCGCCCGGCGTCCCCTGCTCACCGCCCCTCTGCGGCCCGCTCCGTCCTCCCCGCAGACGCGGCACGCGGCCCTCCTCCCGGGCGGGACTCGCCCCCGACTCCGCCCCCACCCCCGCCCCCCGAGCGGGGCCCTGCGCGCTGATTGGCCCCCGCGGGCGGGGCGCGCCAGGCCACTGGCCCGGGGGCTGCGCACGGCGAAGGGCGGGGCCTGACGGCCGCGATTCCCGGAACGCGGCTCCCAGCGTCCCGGATTCAGGCGTCGCCTGTGCGCCCGGGATCGGAGGGTCCCACCCCCCGCCCCCGGGCCAGCGGAGGAGCGGAATGTCCCGTCCCTGCGTGGGGCGACGGGGGCAGAGGTCGAGGCCCGCGTGCGCGCGCCGCCTCCCGGCTCGCCGCGGCTCCGCGGCCTGCCCGCGGGACCCGGCCCCGAGGGACCGCGGGTCCGTGGGGACTGGGACGGGACTCCTCGAGGGAGCCCTGCTGGCCGCCGCGACCGCAGGTGGCGGCCGCTGCGGCTTGGGTGCAGTCCTGGGAACCGAGCCAGGGTTGCCGCTTCTAAGTTAGCGAAAGGTTTTGGGTGGGATCGGTCGGGCGGGGACCGGGGCTGGGGACGCGCCAGAATCCAGGGTTCTTTGCCGTCGTACCTCCCCCATCGATCCGACAAAAACCCTGAGAGAGAGCTAGGCTGGTGACATGCCAGTCACCTCGCCTGCGAGGCCACCCGGGGTGTGTGTGTGTGTGTGTGTGTGTGTGTGTGTTGGCCCCAGTGTGTGGCCAGGCCTTCAGGGGAAGAACGGCAGGCTAGCTGTAGGGGGACAGACAATGAGGGTTTCATGGAGCGGAGGAAGTTACACCCGTGTCCTAAGGTGGTTATAAGGTTCTTCCTTACACTGAGAATCCGGATACAGTACAGCACAGACCCAGTGATGCTCTCTTAGTGGAGGTCACGTAACGTTTAAAAGACACAGACAGGCGGGCCTGCTGTGCGTCTAGAGCCGAAGCAGTCCCAGGCGGGCGTGGGGACCACCGCATGGGGAGGAAGCTCCCGGGATCCGCCCGCCACCCCCTGCCACCTTGTGTCTCCCCTTCGGAACCGACGACCTTGTTCCCCCGCTCTGCCACTCGCAGCGGTGTGTGTTGGAAAGCAAACTTTCAAAATCCAGCAAACACTTATTCAGGGGCAGTGTCCGCCAGCTAAGGGTACCTCCCCACTCCACAGTGCCTGGGCGTAAATCCCGCCCCTCCCCCGGTCTGTGGCCTTCAGCAGGTCTTCTCGGTGTCCCCCTCTGCACGAGAACAACCGCCGCCCCCTCAGGTTGCCGCAAGGACCCGTCCGGTTAAGATGCGAGACGGGATCAGCCCGCAGCAGGCGCTCAGCACGTGCTGGCTGTTCCCGTTAGGGACTGTCTGTCGTCCGCGTCAGTGCCTCCCAAGCCTTTGGCTTGTTCTGGAAACACTTGCATTCGGTGGCCCAGGCAGTGGACAGAGGGGATCAATCACGCACAGCACACAGGCCTGCCCTGCGCACTGGTCAGAAAAGCTCGGGACCGGGTCCTTTAGTGGCTGGCTACCTCTGTATCCGGCCAGCCCGGCCCTGACCGCTAAGAGACCCATTTCTCGGGCACGGTGAGAATCCTGGGCTAGAAGAGCGAGTCGGGATCAGAGAGGTTTCTCAGAGCAGTGAGAGCACTTGTCCCCTCCGCTGGGGTGAGATGACTTTGCGGACAGCCCTGTAGGGTACTGGCCCTGAGGCGACCACTTTCGGGGTAAGGGCCTGTCCTTCGAAAGCCCGGTCAGGGCGCACAGGTGAGTGGGGACGAGTGGCACCTACACGGGGAGTGTCCACCTGTGCCCTGGGACTGTTTGGGTTTGGACAGTCGAAGGCAGAGGGCCGCCGTGAGGACACGGGGGCTATTTGCAGGCTGGGAACTCAGTGGGGGCGGGGAGAACGCCACAGCACAGAGGAGGGAAAGGGCGCTGTCCCCAGACAGGTGGCCCTGACCAGGGCACCGCTTCCCTCCTCGCCGGCGCCCAGTTGCATCTGAAACTCTGTGTCAGCCGTGGGGACTGTCCCCAGGTTCTGCGTCGACCGAACCGTGCCAGCATCCCGTGATGACTCAGCCGGCACCCTGCCCTCACAACGGCTCATCCTTCTCTTTCCCCGCCAGCGCCGCCCCCTGCCCCGCGATCCGAAACCCACAGGTGCGGCCACACCTTGCTCCCAGTCATCAGAGGGGTTCCTGCCACCTGCCACGTTTTGCATCTGTGGGGAGCGCGGGGCCCCGCCTCCCCACAGCCGCCCGCCTGCTGCCTCCCTTCCTCCCCTTCCGCCTGCAGCTTGCCCTTGGTGACCTCCAGTCCGCGTTCCCATGGCATCACCGTCATCGGCCGTTTCCTACCTTTGCTTCCTCGCTTCCTCGGCTGTGGGAGCTCGCCTCCACCACGGGCCTGCGCTCTCGCGGCGCCTCCTGTTCCCCTGGCCTTCAGCGAGTTTACTGGGCCGGGCGTTTCCTCCCCCGCCCCCCGCCCCGTTGCCTTGAGAGGCCTGCCCCACCCAACACGTACTCACAGTCCAGACCCTCGGGCCATTATTCCCTGGAGAGACCACGACCGGCGTTTGTGAGCCTCCTTAGCTTCTCTCCGTCCCAGGAGGCGACTGCGGACGGGGCCTTGCCTACTGCCCCCCGGGAAGGACGACCCTTGTCCTTTCAAAAGGGCCCCTTCCCCTGTGTTCGTGGTTCTGCTGCCGCCCCGTTCCTTCAGTCGCCGGGTTTATCCTGCCCATTGCTGGCACAAAGTGCCCTGGGAAACGATGTAACTTATTGCCTCCGTGGTGAGTGGGAGGCAGCCTTCCCGGAGGTGCTAAAGCCTTTGTAGCCCAAGAGCTGCTCATTGGCCAAGCAGTCGGAAGGACGTTGTTAACTCCACACGCACTGTTTAAAACATGGTGCAGTCCACTCAGCAACACAAGTTTAAGATGAACTTAAATCAAGTTGCTACTACATTTCCAAGCTAGAAAACAGGCAAGATTCACTTCGTAGGGACAAAGCCAAGCAACATTATGACTCACTCGTTTCAGAAATTTTGCTGCAGAACAACATGTATTCAGGAAAGTGAGTGTCACGCCAGAGCACGGCTTGAAATTTTTCACAAACCAAACGCAGCCGTGTGACTCGCCTGCAGACCAAGAACCAGAAGGCGACCGGCACCCCCAAGGCCACCCCCCCGACCCCTGCTGGAGGCCCACTGGTGACCGCTGCTCTGACTTCTGACACCACAGTGTCACGGCTGTCACTTTAACAGTGAGACGCTGGCAGAAGCTTCTGGACCTTGTCCGTGTTTGCTTACTTCCAGCTGAGCGTGTGACTGTCTGTGACAGGCCAATGGGTGGGGCGTGGGATGGGGGCGTGGCCGGGTCGTGCTCAGAGGACACTGGCCGTGTTTGCGCTCAGGTGCTAACCCTCAGTGGCCGGGCCTGCAGCAGGCCAGGGCGCAGTGGCTCTGACTGCGCCGGCCGAGCGCCCCCTCCCCCAACCCGCAGCACTGCCCGGACCCTCCATTCACTGCCCGACGGCCAGTGCGGGAGCCGAAGGCCCTGCCCTCCCACGACCCCAGCGGGGAGGAGCAGAGATGGTCGCTAACAACAGCTGCGCACTGAGTGCTCACCGTGAGTCAGACGTGACGCTGAGGGTCCACACACAGGATCTCACGTGCTTCTCACGTGAGAAAGTGAACAGGCATGATCTTCCCTGTCCCCCCCCACCCGTTTTACAGATGAAGAAACTGAGTCCCAGACGCCAAAGAGCTTGCCCGCGGTTATAAGTAGACAGCAGTCGCACCAAGAATCCAGCCCCCGTCTGACCCCAAAAGCCGCCTCCTCTCACGCTGAGCTCTGCCGTCTTCTCAGGAGGCGGAGGGACTCTGGCTCACGCGCACTCAGCCTCCTGCCCCCCGACACGACCCCCGACACGACCCCCGACACGACCCCCGAGGTGGCAGCCAGCCTCCAGACAGCACGAGGTCAGACAAGTGGGCGCGTGCTGATGGTGGTCCGGCCGCTCCGTTTCCCCGGGGCGGCGAGGGTCCCGCAGCACCACAGCGCTGTCCTGCTCTGCGCGGGCGGCCCAGCCCCTCCCTGGCATCGCACTGTCTCGGTGTGCTCCCGGGTCCTGGCCGAAGGAAGGCGGGAAGCCGTCTCAGCCTGGCTTCAGGCCACAGCGGGATCAGAGCTGTGGTTGAGTCAGGGTGCGGTGTGGCGGCCCTCGCCAGGAAGGGCTGTGACCGGGGCTGGGGGCAGCGCTGGCTGTGGTCGCGTGATGAGGACCCGGCTTGTGGGGTCCGCCACACTGCGGATGGGGGGAGACGTTCACACGGACCACCGGGTCCGGTGGAGGAAAAGGGACAGCATGGCTTTGCTCTCCAGGGGAGCAAAAGCCGTGGCCTCCGCCGTGACAGGCCTTTATTGGGTTTCTCCCCCATTACAGGATGGTCCTCATTTACTGTGCACAGGTTCGCTGTAGGCGGTCACCTTTTACAGAAAACAAAGGAGCCCATGCCACTAATCACATCACAGAAGAGGGATATTTGCAAACGAAAAGGCAAAAGTGGTTGAACCGGTTACACTCCGTACTGGGGAACTTTGGCTCAGATTTTAGGAAGTTACAGTAAGCACTTGCTGTCTCAATTCAGGGGGAGAGAGTTTTAGCAAAAGCAAGACTCAAAGCGGCCCAGGCACATTGCAGGCCTGGTTCCCCACGGGAGAACCCACCCGTGGGCATGGGTCCTGGGCATCTCCCAGTGGGAGCTGGGCCCACGCCACGCAGAGCGGTCTCCCACAGCTGCGCACCAGCACCTCCTCTCCACGGACCGTCCAGGGGAGTCCGGCCGCATGTGGCCCAGGATGGCTAAGAAGGCAGCCCGACCCAAAATCGTAAATTTACTTGAAGCCTGTTTTTCGCTCATCAGTTTTCGTTAGTGTTTGTGTATCTAATGTGAGGCCCGAGACAGCTCTTCTCCTTCCAGGGTGGGACGCCCCTGAAGGGTCTGCAGAACACCCCTGGAGGCCACGCTCGGTGCCAGGTGCCAGGTGCTAGGCACTCGGCGGGACGCGGCCCCCAGACGGCAGGAGAGAGTCCGTGGGGAAGGCGGGGCGGCCTTGGCGTGGGGAAGCCAGTGACCGGACTTGGATGAGGAGGAGACTGCGTGGGGGCGGTGGGGGAGAGGGGTCGGGGGGACGCTCGTGAGGGCGGGCGAGTGGGGCTCCGGCGGGCGGGCTCCGGCGGTGCGAGGGGAGGGGCTGCAGGGAGACCCGCGGGAGAGGGTGGTGGGTCGGTGGGCGGGCGGGCGGCCGTCGTCAGAGGCAGGTCCAGCCCGGGGGTGCGAGCAGTGGCCTGTGAGGAAGCCCTCGGCTGGTTCAAGCCGGGACGGCTCCCACACTAATTCCTTCTGGAGTCCGGAGGGTGGGAGTGGGGGGGGAGGGGCTTCGGGTTGGGGACCCCCAGCCAGAGGGTGCCGGGCTCTCCTCCCGTCCCCGCGCTGCCGCCGCTCACGGCCACCCTCAGCGTCGGGCGACGCGGCCCCCGTCCACCTGTCCCTGAACCCACCCCGATGGAGGCCGTGGGACACCAGGACGGGCTGAGGCAGGCCGGTCTCAGACCCCAGCCCCCCTCGGGGTAACCGGGGGGACAGACTCCTGACTGCCCGTCGGGCCTCGGCGTCTCTGAGGTCGGAGGCCGCAGTCGGCCACGGCGCCACAGGGTGCCGGTGCCTCTGGCGGGGCCCGCACTCGGAGGACCGCTGCCTTGGCACCCTCGTTGGTGGCAGACAGACAGAGGCTGGGGCGCCCACCGCCGCGTGCCCTGCGGATGGGGCCCCCCGAGTGCTCTGGCGCAGTGCCTGCCTGTGCCGGTCAGGCCAGCGCGGCTGCGTCCCCCTCGCCCTCCAAGGGCCCGGGTCACCTTCACACGGATGACGCAGTCACCTTCCTGCCAGGGGCTCTCGACGCTGTTCCCGCTGAACATTCGTGACAGAAGAATTCATTTCACCCACTTCTAAAGCATCAGTGGCAACCAGCTCATCTTACGTCTTACGTTTGCTGACGTAACATTTTCACAGAAATAGGAAACATTTTTATTCAGCTGAACCGTCATACTTAAAGAACTTGGACTGTAGCGCAGCTCCCAGCTCCCGGTGAGACGGAGTTCAGAATTAATACCCAGTGTCGGTCGTCACTTACTTCTGGTTCGCCCAGAGCCCAAGTTTCTCTTGGAAATTTATGACGGCTGGCGGTCCCGGCAGGGGGCCATGTGCTTTCTGGGAGGAAAGCACAGTGAAAGAATTTTCCTGTTTTTCTTCCTTAACCTAGTTTCTTTCTCTTGGCTTCCCCGACCCAAAGGCGACCAGAGACGAGGTGGGCCGTGGCCTCACCCCTCGGGACCTTCCATCTCATTCATGGAACCGGAGCCAAACTCCTTCGGGTTTTAAAAAGCTGGTCACGCGCGGTTTCGGGGGTGCAGTTTGAGAGTTTAACTAAACCACTTCCTCCCAACCTCACACAGAATCGTCGGCCGAAGCAAAATCCCCACGGGAACCGGCCGCATCTCGTCGTGGCTCACAACACCGAGAACTGTGAAACCTCACTCACTCCAGGATTGTTTGGATGCCGTTGTCTTAAGCTTTGACCAGACTTTTGTCCTTAGGCCAGAATAACCACAGAGGGTTTCAATTCTTGGAGAGGACAATCTGAGGAGAACCTGGTAGGAGGGCAACATCGGGCAAGCTTGCAGACGGGCAAGTTTCTGACGTGGAGAGGCCTCAGCACTCTCCGGCTCCAAGCTCCCGTCCGTGCTGGGAGGACCCTGCTCCCGGAGGTCACAGACGGGAGGTTTTCCGAGCTGAGTGAGTACTTCCGGCGACGGGCAGGGCCCCGGCCCCGGAGAGCGTGCCCGCGGTGGGTCTGTCTGCGGAGCTGCTCTGGCCCACGAGTCCCCTCCCGGTGACGGGCGAGGCCTTCCCCTGTGTGTACGTTAGAGGGCTGTGCGCCGTGCCGTGCACTGAATTGCTGCTCCCAAAGTTCACTTCCGAGCTCTCGGCCCCCAGAAGCCTGTGTGTAGAGGTAGGGATGACAGGAGGTAACCAAGATTAAATGGGGTTGTCAGGGCGGGGCCCTGATCTGATACACCGGCAGCCCTGTTGGGGGAGGGAGGGAAAGAGATGTCGCTCTCTCTCCTCCGCCTGCGCAGAGGAAAGGCCAGGGGAGGACGTCTGAGGAGGAGACCAGACGTCCAGAGGCCGGACTGGACCCTGGACTTGCGGCCTCCAGAGCTGTGGGCAACTCACTGCCGTCACTGAAGCTGCGATGCTTTGTCACAGCAGCCCAAGCTCGGACAGACCGTGGGCACTGCTGCTTCTGGGCCAGAACTTCCGGCTGTCACGCCCGTCCTGACACTGCTGTTCCCTAACACGGGAATCCAGTGAGTTCCGTCTTTTCTTCCTCCGACACAATCTCCAGATTTCTGTCCGGGCGGCTCATGCCGAGGTCCCGCCAGCTGGCGTCTGTGCCATGAAGCGGTGGCGTCTGGAGCCGACAACCGCACACATGTCATCCGGTGTCAGTGTGCATTCTGCCCCACGCAAAACACGCCAAGACACTATTGTAGGGGCCACATGCCCCGTCTTCTGGGGGGTCATACCCGTCATGTCGGGTTTGGTTTTCCAGAAAGCACACTCTGTACGGGTCACACTTGTCGTCACCCCCAATCTGC